GCCAATCAGAGGCCATCACAGCATTCAGGTGACCCAGAACCGTGGGTCCCAGTTCAGCATGCTCCCAACACAAAGACAGGAACACAGATATGCGGCCTCACGGATAAAGACCCACTTGAGTGAGGCTGTATATCTGTGTAAGGTCAGTGGGAAGGGATTAAAGGGTTAGTCCACCTTTATAAAAAAAAAAGCTTATGCAGATAAGGGACATCTGTAGATGAACACAAGCTGTGCAGCTTTGACCAGAATTGAATAATGCCCTTGTTTTAGGTGTACGCCATTTACTGACCTCATGAAGCCTGACAGGAAAACTTCCACAATGCTAAGAGAGGCTGTTTACCTTCACAGTAGTGAGTTTTATCTGATTCAGACCCCTTCACATCAACTTTATCTCCCCTGATACAAGTAGTTCTGAGCTCAGAGTTTGAGAGCGCACTCCTGTGATGGTGACGGTGAACAATAATAGCTTGGCCTTGCTTTGCATTGTCCTGGAAGATTCCCAGTCAGGCTTCATGATTTACGTAAATGGCCTACATTTATAGCAAGGGCATTATTCCACTTTAGTCACAGCTGCGCAGTTTGTTTTTATCTAAAGACACCCCTTATCTGCATAGGCAGCTTCTTGGTAATGGTAAACTAAACCATTAAAAAAAAAAAAACTATGAAAGAAAAAACAGAGTCACTCTACCGACCAGCAAGGCTGCAGGTTTAATTTTGCTACTCTGGTACATTAAACATGCAAGCTGAAATCTGACTGGTTGCTATTGGAATTGCCTTTGCTTTTGTCTGTTTGAAAGTAGCCTATTTCTCCTGACTGGTTGTATAAGTGGATCGGACAGATGATTATCAGCGGGCGGATGTATTTCTAAGATCACCTTTTCAAGTTTTTTTTTTTTCCTCATTAAGTGTTCTTGCATGGCAAGACCACTTACTGTTATCTCACATATATATTCTTATTATTATAGCTAAATGTACCACCCTAACTCCTCCCACAGTTTTTACACTACATAGACAGTAATATACCGAAACATGCGGATTGTTCCCGATTGGTGTGCTATTACTTTGTGGAACTTTTCGCCGAATGGTTCACGAAATATCAGTGTTTTTGTGGTGAAATTGGTCCCATAGGAATGAATGGCGGAATGTTCAAAACTAGAGTGGGAGCTGAAAAATCAGGACATGATTTCTAAACTGCCATCACACCCTCATTTTCAAGCCCACCTACACAAATCTTATATCAAAATGTTCAGCTATCCCTGCTGCCACTAAAAATGTCCACGGCTAAGCCATAGTCCTGATAGTTTTCACAATATGACCATTTGTTTGCAACTCACGCCGCCCATTGACATTCATTTAAACTCCACTCTAGCCACCTCAAATTTGAAGGGCAATTTCTAAACTACGACTGTGCCTTCATTTTTAATATTTCAGAGACATACTATGCATCAAAATGTAGGTCTGGGTCTTGTGATTCTCACAATATAAAGCTCTTTGGTGTAGGATTTACAGTTTTTAAACTACAACCGTTTGAATATGGCAACCGCCAGTGAAGTGAGCAAGTTGGAGAAGTTTGTTTTTAACCGCTCTTCTCTGCCCTTGCTGTAGAGTGAGTTGTCATAGGAACCCAGGTGTGTGAGCAGGCAGCAGAGTGACAAGCCACTCCACCCAGTTACTCTGCCCACTCCAGTTGTAGACTACTGGTGGAGGCAAGAACACTTCACACAATTTCCCCAGAAATTGTTGCTTTTCTAGTTGCTTTTGTTATTGCTTGTCTGGTAGCATATGGTTATTGCTTTTATTCTGTTGTGGTGAAGAATTCCATGTGAATGAAAACTTTTACTTTAATTGTATATTCATTGGAAAATGTATGTTGTTACTAAACTTTTAATTGTTAATTAACACACTTACTGCTAATTTCAAAGGAGAGATAGCAGGACTGATTCATATAGGATACTGCTTCTAGTTCCTATACGTTGTAGCTGTTATTGTGTGATATATTTTGTTTTAGAAAAACACTGGTTAGAAAGATCAAATGGCAAGAGCATGAAAATGTGTTGGGCGTAAAATTCCAGGTATTTTCCTGCATCCAGGGAGCCACATGGGCCATATTCAGCCTGCCATAGAATTAATGGCTGTACACAGCCATGGTCTTGTAAACACTGATGTTTTTGTGTATCAGCATTTTCCTGTGCATGTGCGTGTGAGTGTGATGTGTTTCCCAAATGTAGATATTTCAGTAAACACTGCAGAGAAACATTGGTGTTTACAAGAGTATGACTGCATACAGCCATGTATGGTATATGCTTACATGTATGGCAGGCTGTGCAACTTGTGGCTTCCCAGGCATGGGAAAACACTCAGAAGTTTACACGCATATTTTCAGCCTCTCGCCATCCATGTGCATGAGGCCAGAGTTCAGATTTGGTACTTCTAGGAAAATAATTGGAAGCCTGAGAAATTATATTTTCACTCATCAGCATAAAACAGCTATACAACATAATAGTCCTTATTGCTAGTAGTAGATTATCCCCATGTGCAAGTTTGTTAATCAACAATCCTCTTCAAGTGATCTCACCAGTATCATAAATGCTCACCAGATAGTGAGACCCCTCTTGTATAATGGGTCAAATCACACCTTCTGTGCATATAAAAACAAAAACCATCATAGTGTGATTCTATCAAACCAAACCCGTGTTCCCCACACTTTAAATATTGTGCTCACATAAACTTGTACAGTAGTGATCTCACACTATACCTCCAACAATCCTCCACCACCAGGTGTCCCCTTATGTGCTGGAACCTCACCAGAGCCTTGCTCCCACAGTTGGTCTAGAATGCTAGAATGCACTCTCGTCTCCACTCCCCTCTTCTCTGTTACCTTCTCCAGAGTCACCAATCCACCTCATAAAAAAGAGCTTTCAATAGTGTAGTATTTTTAAGTAAAACACACACACACACACATATATATTCATTTAGTTTCATGCTGGTTAAAGTCCCTATAGAACTAAAGGGATGATAAGTGACTCCCTCTTTAAGGAAGTCTGTTTGACCCTTTCCAGACATGTAGACTCCCTAGAGCTCTTTTACCCACTGGGGAGCAGATGTAAAGCTTGGTCAATGCACACATGTTCTAATTTACGTCTGTTCCACATGTGTCAATTACACTATAAGGTCTCTGGAGAGCCAGTTTATTAACACATGCTGATAATTATGTATGGAGTAGTACAACATTTTATCTTGCCTTCTCCTCATACCATTTGTTTGGTATAAGAGACTGCCAACTTGTCTCTCCATTCCCTCCCCGGGGTCATCTTACATTAGTAGTCTAATGCAGCCAATTATATGAGGAATATTGGTTCTTGTTTGAGCCTTCTTACAGAAGGCATCATAATCCTAAGAGTGATACAAAGTGTATGCACGTGATTTGCTTTGATCTTCACCACTAATTGCTAATGTCCCAATTAGGTTACATTAAACAGCAGACAGATGTGTGCAGGCCGTGGTGCGTAGGCTAATGGTTGGTCATAACAATCCAATGTGTCTGCTGTTTTATTCCAGAAATCACTGAAATCTGTTCAGTTGCCCCTCTGAAAATGTTTTTATGAACCATAGCCTTTGTGTGAAAGTATAGCACTTTAGGAATATTAGGCCTCTAAAAACTAAAGCTTAGTCATGGGTTTATGTGTCAGGTTTTTTTTATTCATATAAGTGCTTCTTCTGATATCTCAGATTCTGCCTGCTCAGAATCATCTGATTTTAGCCACTGATAAAGGACAAGGGGAACCATAAGACCGATATATAAATATTGGTACAGACTTGTATACACCAGCACCATATCTATACTTTGAAAGCTTACTTAGAATTAGAGATGAATTTAGATGGATAGATAGTGATCATATGAAGCTATTTATTATCACATAGTTGTTTGGTTTCTTTTTAAATCATAATGATAGCAGAATTCATCCAATGGTCCTTATCAAAAGTTGACCTGGAATGTTTGGCCTTGGTACAGATACACAAGATGACACACACGGGTTAAAATGCCAATTAGAGGTTAATTTTCCACATCTGTGGCTTTTTAAATTGCAATTAGTGTCTGCGTTTAAATAGTCAATGAGTTTGTTAGCTCTCACGTGGATGTGTTTAGCAGGCTAGATACTGAGCCAGTAGGAGCAGTAAAGAACTGTCAAAAGACCTGCATACTAAAGTAATGGAACTTTATAATCACTTTATAATCATTCATTTTAAAATTGAATGTTAAAAGCAGGTGAATTTTTCGAATGACATTTGTCCATTAATCAAATGTACAAACAATTTTTGTACAAATATTCATAATATTCTCGTCTGAAAATCGATACGTGTATGGCCAGCATTTAGAAGCAGAAGCATGCTTTTGTTTATCAACTAGGGTTAGGGATGGGGTTAAAAAAACAAGAATTAGCCCTTTATAGTTCAAAAACAGGAGATAACCACTACTAAAAGGGGTTAATATATACTGTGTAACAGTGAAAGTAATATAATATCTTAATAAATATACCCAGAAGTAGGATATACAGGATATTTTAACTGGGAGTCAGATAGCTATATAAAGGGTGGAGGGGGATATAAATATTTAGTATTAAAGTAGTACTAAAGTCTGAGACTTTTTTGTATGGATATAATACATTTTAAATATAATGCACAATACTGGTAAACATCTAATTTCCATTTACCATATTTTTCGCTTCATAAGACACACCTGACCATAAGACGCACCTAGATTTTAGAGGAGGAAAACAAGAAAGAAAATATTCTGAACCAATGGACTGCAGACATAGTACAGGAAATGACCAGAGACTGCAGACACAGTACAGGAGATGAACAGAAACTGCAGACATAGTACAGGAAATGACCAGAGACTGCGGACATAGTACAGGAGATGACCAGAGACTGCGGACATACTACAGATGAGCAGAGACTGCGGACATAGTACAGGAGATGAGCAGAGACTGCAGACATAGTACAGGAGATAACCAGAGACTGCGGACATAGTACAGGAAATGACCAGAGACTGCAGACATAGTACAGGAAATGACCAGAGGCTGCAGACATAGTACAGGAAATGACCAGAGACTGCAGACATAGTACAGGAGATGACCAAAAACTTGCGGACATAGTACAGGAGATGACCAAAAACTGCGGACATAGTACAGGAGATGACCAGAGACTGCGGACATACTACAGATGACCAGAGACTGCAGACATAGTACAGGAGATGACCAGAGACTGCGGACATAGTACAGGAGATGAGCAGAGACTGCAGACATAGTACAGGAGATGTCCAGAGACTGCAGACCTTTGGGGAGCAGGGGGGGGGGCTGGTACTCGAATTTGGCAGGTACCTGCTCCCACTTCAGCAGAGTTGTTCTCCCCGTAGTCTTGTGGGACACGTGACAGATCCCAGAAGACTACAGGTAGCCATTCACAAAGCGCAGCGCTTCTCGCGCATGCGTAGTAGGCACCTGGCTGTGAAGCTGCAAGCTGTCACAGCCGGGTGCCTACACTGAAGATGTCGGCGCCAGAGAGAGAAGACGGCCAGTAAAAGCAGGACACCACTGGACCGAGGAACAGGTAGGACCGAGGAGCAGGTTCTTTTGCTCAGTAGAGCCGAGCAGCCAGCCCGATATTCTAAAACGGCAGCGGCAGGAATACCGGTCCGGCCGCTCCATATTCGTTCCATAAGACGAACAGACATTTTCCCACATTTTTTTTTGGGGGGGGGGGGGAGTGCATTTTTATATGGAGCGAAAAATACGGTGATTTTAGACATTGGATTTTTTTTTTTTAAACAAACTTGTCATACTTACCTGCTCTGTGTAATGGTTTTGCAAAGAGCAGCCACAATTCTGTTCTGAGGTCTCCCACGGACGCTTTTGCTCCTCCTGCCTTCAGAGTGCCCCTATAGCAAGCCGCAGTGTATAGTGTAGAGTGCCCCTATAGCAAGGTAAAAAAAACTGACTTTAAATCACTTACTTCTCCTGTCCATGACTACATGTCCCATGAGGCATTGCTCCCAACACATTCACAAGTTCTTAGGCATTTACTGAAATGTATGGATGGTGTACTGAGCTGTATGTGTTCTGCACTGTATTTTCTGATATGTAAACAAATAATGCATTTGGTATGCTGGCTGACTAATCAGCTGACCAACGCATCGATTATGAAAATAGTTGAAACCTATTTTCATAATGGACAATAAGTCGTCATGCACACAGGGTGTTTTTGCAGCCACTTTTAGGGGCGTCAGGCTTTTTTTTTTTTTTTACTGCTTGTAAATGGCCCTCCATGCTATCCTACGTGTGCACACATAGACTTTTAGGAGCTTTTAGTGGCAGGGGTGTTTACAGGCAGGGGAAAAAACCCAGGGCTAATGTATCTTGGAGCACCAGCGCTTTGGCAGAAAAAATGCTTGGCGCATGTAAACACGTCTGAACGCATGTTAACGCTTGAGCATTAATTAATTTTGATGGTCAGAATAAATTATTATTCTGACCAATTAAATGAATTAACAACCAAGCGCTTGACGCCTGTAAATGCGCCTAAACGCTTGTAAAAAGAATGAGATACTTTTACACGCATCAGTCCTTTTTTCAGCAAAAACTCTGCTGCCAGGAGGTAGGCTTCTAGAAGAGTTTTTTTTGTAATGTCCTGTGTGCATGAGGTCTAATCGAATATGTCAATTAGTTGTTTCAGTCCTAATCAAATTATTAAGAGCAATGCCAATTTATTCTTCACCTGTGATATTAAGGGGGTGGGCGACCACTAGGCTGTGGCTAGAGCTTGTTTTTTCTGCCATATAAAGGAAAGAAGGAGGTGGAAATGGGTGTTTGTACAGTGTTTAGGTTTCAAATTTAGAAGGGTTTCCAGAGGGTTTCCATGTGAGCTATGTATCGAGGCAAAGCTAATAGCTCCCTAAAGATTCTGTATATGTCCTTATTGACCCTCCATTGGAAATGAATTGATTCAGTAAGATCAGGTGGAAGCATAGGATTCTGCATCATAGAGGCTAGTGGTGTGTAGCTAGCTAGTGCTGCATAGGGAGAACAATTTGCCAGAGTACTGTCCCTTGTTTCTAGTTACTGGCAAATAATTGGGTTTGTTATTTGGTTACGGACACTAAGGGGAATCCACCTCACAGTGTCTACTGGGATAAGGTTGAGTTATAGAGCTTCCAGGGAGATCCAGAGGGGAAGACCCACTCCCAAATGGTAGGTTGATAGTTGGGCGGGAGCACTTGAAAACAACTTTGGTGAGAAAGAAATTTTGACAACAGCTATTCAGCCTAGCCATGAAATTTGGTATTTTTTCCATAAGCTGATTAAGTTGCCTTATTAGAGCAGTATAATTTGCTTCATACATGGTATTATAGGAAGGTGTGATGTAAATCCCTACATGTGGCAAGCAACTCTGTTCCCAGCAGAAAGAAAAGGTGGTCTGTAGATGGGTTAATGGCTCCTGGGGCAGAGATACGTTCAGTGCCATGCATTTATCATTATTAATCTGTAAACCTGAAAAGCTTTGAAATGTATCTAGGATTTAGATTAAGAATAAACAATACATCATGTTTACTTGTCAAAAAAAAAAATTTAAATTGTATTTTTTCAGCCTTTACCATAATATATGTAGAAAACATGTACATAATTACAATACATTCATACATACCCTTAAAGTTAACCTGCAGCACAAGGTCACTTTTATCTAAGTACACACTGTAAAAGAACATCTATACTTACTGTTTCAGTGACCCATGTGTTTTAACCCCCAGCGCTTTGTTTCTTCCCAGCTGTTGCTGGTATTCCAAACCTCTGGGGCTTTGAACACTTGCTCCTCCTGATGCACAGTGTATTTCCTCCCTCTAGCTCATATGTTATTACGGGACATACAACCCAGCATAAGGAACCACAGCATGCAGCAGGGGGAGCGTGTATTCGATACATCTGGAAGTATTGAATACCTGCAGCGGCTGGGGAGCAGTAAAGCACCAAATTTAAAGACATGGGTCACTGGAAAGGTAAGTTTACTTGCGATACTTTTCATACTATACTTTGTCTACAGGTGACCCTGTGGTGACAGGGTGAATTTTATGTATAAGGAGAGAGAAAACTGGCCATATGGAAAAAGTAGTGTCAGTTGAAGTAAAACTTCTGTCAAAAACTAATTTCCCAAAAAATTAAAACATCAAACCGATCCTGCTCTTGTTTTCATCTTGTTCCAAACTATAGTATAATATGGTTTTGGGTACTGTATATTTTTAGAAATACATATACATAGAAGTCTACTATTCATGAGCTTTAAAGTAACTATGGTAATTGCCACCCCATGATGTTTTCTGTGTGTCAGAGGATTCTTCCCTGATGTCTAATGAGTTGGTGCTCAATACAGACAATACCAGTAACAAAGAAGAGATAACCATATAAATGTAACCTTGCTGGATTTTAAAAGCAGTGTTGTCTTTTTTAACTAAAGTTGCTATAGAACTGTCACCCTGTACACAAAGTTAAATGAAGAGGTGAAGGTTTGAGTTTAGTATAAAAATGAATACGTTAAAGCACTTGATCCTTTCCAGCACTTTTCCTGCATTAAAGCATGTAAATGGTATAAATATACAACATTAGTTTCATCATATTTCCTTTCAATGAGGAGCAGCTAGTATAAAAATATTGTGTACTAGCCTGGCATGGTAAGCGGTTAGCACAATCACCTTTCAGCTCTGGATCTCAATTCTTGAAGTCCTTAAAATGCCAGAACAGTACAAATACCCCCCCCCCCCCCCCCCCCCCCCCCCCCCCCCTCCAATGACCCCTTTTAGGAAAGCAGACAGTCTGAGGTATTTAAGAATAGACATGGCGAGTTTTTTGAAGTTGTATTATTTTTTTCACAATTGTTTGGAAAAGGATTTAAATAAAATCATTTTTTTTCACAATTTTATTTTTTTAACATACTGTCACCAGTTGAGTACAGCGTCATATTAATGGTGTAACGGTAATCAGCGACACTAACTGGAGACAGTGGGGTTTATTTACCAAAGCTGGTTCATGCAGAATCTTGTGCACTTCTGCATAGAAACCAACAAGTCCACAGGTTTTATTGCTAAAGCTTAATTGAACAAACTGAGGCTAGACGCTGACTGGCTACCATGCACAGGTGCACAAGATTCTGGTGAACCAGCTTTAGTAAATAAACCCAGTATGTTTAAAAGAAATATTAATTCATTTTTTTATTATTTTACTATTTTTTGTAATACTTTCATCAGTGTTGTTTAGTGTCACCACAGTAACACTGTACTACTCCTGGGGGGTGATCAAGGATTTTTTTTTAACACTGATTACTGTTGATGATCACTGTAACAGAAATTTTTTTAACTGTCATAAATGGGGGTTACATTCATAAAAGCTGTGGTTACTAGTGATCTATGATTGGCTACAGCTAATCACATGGCACAAGGGGTTGTGTCTGGCCCAGGTACCATGTGATAGCTGTTGGCCAATCTCAGCATCACTGTATAGGAAGCACACCTGTTATGAATGACGTTCATAAGATTTGTTGACATTGTGATCACATATTGATCTCGTGATCCCCGGATTTCCACTGGAAGCCAAGATCCGATGTGTCCAGTGGACACGGGAACGGCACACTCTGCGCCTCATGGTGGATTATGTACATGTAAATGTACTATGGGCAGACAGCAACTGGTTAATCTCTACTATTTAGGTTGGTTGATTCTGATTAATAGAAGCCCAACACGATGGTTGGAAAATGTCCCAACCTCATGGAGCATGCACTCCCAGTGAACTGCTTATGAATGAGTATGTAGGGCTCAAACGTCAGCATCCTGAATGTGGGCACATTCATTTTCCCATTTTGTGCTGAAATTAAAAAAGCCATATGTATATTTAAAAGTCTTATTTATGAACACTTAAGCATAAGTAAGTCTAGCCTGGATCCATTCCCTAGCTGTTGATATATGTCAGCTGGCAGCCACGCTTTCTTTACATTAAATCCCTGAGAATACGTTATTGCATCCCGCAATGCTTCAGAAAAGTTATCAGTGAACTCAGGCCAGTGAAAAACCCTTTGAAAGAAACTTCACTGAGGGATATTGATTATAGCAGCTTCTCATTATCTAAAAGCTGTCCTGATTTTGCATTGAATACATACTTTTCTTCCTTAAATAATTCATGCACATAGTCGATATTGCAGCTGGCTCTCAGAATTGGTAGTTAGCAAACTTGGACATGAGATGGGTTATGTATGATATTAAAAATAAAATCACCCCCCCCCCCCCCCCTTTTCCTTTTTTGTTGCAGAAAGAGCTGAACTCTCTCGCTTCGGAGCTGGCTGCGCGGCAGGAAGAGAGCGAACATTCCCACAAGCATCTTATTGAACTCAGCCGGGAGTTCAAGAAGAACGTCCCTGAGGTATAGTATGTTACATACAAGTCCCGCTTAACCTACTGATTGCTGATGTGATTTGTTTTTAGATAGAGAAACATTTAAGACCTTTTATCTTTTAACACTAAATTTTATTTAATTATTTTTCTTTTTTATTGATTTAAGACATAATTAAAATAATGCTGGGGACATAGTATCTCAATGCTATACCTATCTTTTTAAACAT